AGAGAGAGAGAGAGGGAGACACAGAATCTGAAACAGGCTCCAGGCTCTGCACTGTCAGCACAGAGCCCGACGCAGGGCTTGAACTCACGGACCGTGAGATCATGACCTGAGCCAAAGTCAGACGCTTAACCCACTGAGCCACCTAGGCACCCCGCTGGTGGGGAGTCTTTAGGCTCCAGACGATGGGGTCGCCCTGTTTTGTTTCTCTGGGTAGTGGTAACTTGGAGGACGCTGCCCACCTGCCTTGGTGGCTTTCCTCTTCACTCAGAACTTGGTATCAGAGAATCTCTCAGTATCAGAGACAGCGGGAGGTAGTTGGCACGGCTTGTGGCAGACTTGCATTCAGGTTCCATCATTTGGGAAACAACCAACAGATTTCATTTTTCTGTATAGCAGACTGAATAAAGCTATTTCTGAGTCCCTTCCATTTCCTCATTCCATGATCTCTACTCCATTTCCTCTTCCTTGCCACTTAAATCACTGGTCATGAATGGAAAAGAAATGTTTTTATTATTTACCTAAATTTGATTTCCTTTTTAAAGTTTATATTCTTTTTTTTTTTTTTTACTTGATTTCTTCTTTCCCAAATATATAGTATATGTAGGCATTTCTAGTCATTTTCTGTATAACACTCAAGGACTAGAAAAACAGGGTCTATCAACATTTAATGATTTTTTTCTCAATAAATTGTCTTGTGTAAAAGTAACACGTTTATTTAAGAAACGGGGAAAACAAAAAATACAGAAAAGAGACAAAATTATTCTCATTTTTAACATTTCTGTGTTACTAATGTTAGGTTGGTAGTTTTCAAGCAACTGTTAGCTGTGTAACACCGGTGACAAGTTACAGGAATGTCTGGCTTCAAATTCTATGTAGGTTTCACTCATAAAAGCTGTAAGCCAGGGGATTTTAACTAGTTTCTGGGATTTGCTTTAAATAAATTGTATCTCCCCTATGTCACATAAAGAATTCCTAGTCTATCATATCAAGCCAGTAATCCATCTTGAGATTCTGTAGGAGCCTCAAGATCTTGTAGGAGGTATCCTTTAGAATTACAATGTTTATACCCTTCCATGATCTGGAGATGTCTAAACAGATTGCTCTTTCTTTATCACAGGAGAAGGAGACAATTGCCAAGTGCATTGCAGATCTGAAGCTCCTTGCAAAGAAGGCTCAAGCACAGCCAGTTTTGTAAATGCATCTATCTCTGTGGAGACAGCTAGAAGCAGTTGACCAACGAGACTCATCGATGTGGCATAGTCTTTCTGTATTGCTGTCTACTGAAGTTACACTTAACCTTTCCCAAAAGTGAAGTTTGAATTTCACATGAGAATGAAAACAGCCTGTTGGCCAGTGAGATGTTTTTCATCCTTCTTGCTCTGTATTTTGAGTTGTTCCATGATCACTTTTGAATAAGCAGTTTGCTTTTAATAAAATTTGTTGCCTGACTAAAGATTACCAAGTTAGAGTTTAAATTTGTAATTAATTCTACCATCTTGCATTAAAGTGACAGTTGAGACTAGGTTTTTCAAGTTGTGTAATATTCTAAAATATTTCAACATTTGTCATATGGGTAAAAATCAAACATGTCATTGAACTGATAATTTAGTGTAAGCTATTCCTGGCCAACTGACAGGCTATTGGAAATTTAAAGCTTTTTTAGTATTCTTAAAATAACTAAAGGAAATCTTGTGTATCAAGTCACATTGTTGACTTTGTTATTTTAGTAATATGTCTACAGAAAATATGGACCCAATGTGTCATAAAATTCTAAAGAATCCAGCAAATAAATTTAAAAAATCTTCCCTTCTATAGGTTTGTCTGCTTTTAATTCTCCCATACTTGTATAAGGATGTCCTTGTACACAGGACAGCTTACATAATAGGAAATATTTGAAAATATGTACCATATGGATAATTGCTATTTTCATTGACTTCTTAGGATTTTAATTTATGAAACAATAGATATCAGTTCAGTATTTATTGATGGATAATATATTCACTTACTATATAAATTCGATTGATACCCTTATTGTTACTTAAAGAGATTTTGCTAGGGTCAACAGAGGTGTTTCAAATTATTCATTTAGCAAAGGATTTATAAGAACCTAGTTGGTGCTAAGCACCATCCTGTACTGATAATACAGAGAGAAAATCCCCTATCAAAAAGTTAAAAAAATCTTTGGAAAGGCAGTAAGAATATGTGAACAGTAGAGCCTTTAGCACAGGTACTTTGAGAGTATAATGACAAGTACCATTTTAGATAGTCTCACTAGCCTCATCGTTTTTCTTGTATATAACTATCAGCATTCAGAGAAGCAGAACTAGGATATATGTTTGTAAGGAATTTGACTGCTGTTGTGGGAGCTGGTTAAGCTGGTCTCTGAAAGTCTTTTTTTACCTTGGTTTCTGATGCAGGAGCTTGAAGTCCACAGAGCGGGCAGTAAAGAAGGCAGGGTGGATGTAAAGTGGGAGACACAGGAACAAGTAGAAATCGCAAGCACAGACTGAAACCCTTGTCCGTTTTTATTACCTCTGACTTTGATGGTATGATTTCCTCAAAAAGCCCGGGTCCTTTTTCACACATACCTTGTCCAAAGGTTAGAAAAGCTGAAGGGTGATGCGGGAAAGGTGGGGAAGGCCCAGCTGCAGCTGCTGAGCCACAGATCAGTGACATGTACGAGCTACTGGACAGTTGCTCCTTCACACCTGCCCTCTGAAATTGCTCAAGAATCAAATGGCTCACTCTAAGCAAAACATTCAGGGAAGAGAATTTTGGAAAGTAGTTCAGCCTAACCCACTCGACACATTAAGAACCACCACAATAACTATCCTGTTAATAAATGTTACCCTGAATAAAGAAAGCAAAAACTCTAATCCCAGGAAGTTCAATGAACCTCCAATAAAACATGGAGACAGCATGGGGCGCCTGGGTGGCTCAGTCAGTTAAGCATCCGACTTCGGCTCAGGTCATGATCTCACACTGCAAGTTCAAGCCCCGCGTCGGGCTATGTGCTGTCAGCTCAGAGCCTGGAGCCTGCTTCAGATTCTGTGTCTCCCTCTCTCTGATCCTCCCCCATTCATGCTCTGTCTCTGTCTCAAAAACAAACATTTTTAAAAAATTAAAAACAAAAAAACATGGAGACAGCAGAAAGATGACAAGTCAGAAAAGAAAGGCTGAGCTGGCATTTGAAAGAGGAAGTTGGCCAGAAGAGTGAGGGATTCAAGTCCAGAAGGAAGGAGCAGCATTCGTGATTATAGAGAAGCTAATGTAACAGAGCAGCATTCTTAAAACTGAAGAACTTGAGTGAACTATGAATAGGAGTTATATTAGAGTTCTTAATGCTGTGCTTAGAAGTTGGATTTTGTTCCAAGGAGAGGGAAGCCAGTGAAAGGTTTTAAGCAGAGGAATGCCAACTTTCCTTTCAGAAAAGTCACTATCAACAGTAGAGGACAGTTTGAAGAGGCAAAGCTAGTTCGGCTGCTGGAACGTTCTAGCGAAAAGACATTGAAGACTTTTAAGGCCTTGGCAGTGTGGATGGAAAGGAATTGAGAAACACTAAAGGTAACAGGGGGAATGAAGGGAAAAAATAAGGAAGAAGGGAAAAAACGTGAGTCACAGCTTTCTTGCTTGAAAGAGAAGTGACAGGGAGAGATTCTCACTGTGATTTGGAATACAGGATAAACTGATTCAGGGAAGAATAAGGCTCAGTGTAGAGCCATGAAAGAACATCGGTGTTTGAGAAATGGTAGATAAGGAGGATTCTGCCAAAGAAAAGCCACTTACTGGAGGAAAACCAGGAGACAATAGAATAAAATCAGGATGGTGGCGAGTTCTGTGTCAGAAGAGCCACTTTTTCAGGGAGATTAAGAGGACTTCACGCCCATCACAGTTCATCACTTGGAAGTCTCTGGTGGCCTTGTCTAGAGTAGTTTTGGTTGAATGGTGGGGACAGAAGATCACAGCGGTGGTAAAGGACTGAAAGGCAGTGAGGAAATGGACCTTCACGGAATAATTTCCAGAACGCTACTCACCCTCCCTCATATTGTCTACATGCCCAATGAACAACTTATAGGCATCTCAAACTGAAGTCAAAAATAGATCTCTCAGTCTCTGCCCACAGCCTGCCCTTCCCTCAGATAATGGCACTACCGTTCACCCAAGCTGCTCAGGCCAAAAACTGGGAGTCAATCTTAAGTTCCACTCACTTTCCCTATCCAATCCATCAGCAAGTCTTGTTACCGCTACTCTCAAACTTCTCTCAGATCTGGCCACTCCTCCCGCTGCTTAATCCAAGCTGCCACTTCGGCTACTACACTTCGGGCTACTACAATTCTCTGTTGCCACACTTGCACCTCTTAACAAGCCTCCGTAGCCAAAGTGAGCTTTATCAAATGTAAGTCTAAACCCATCACTCCCCTGCATAAAACTGTAATGCCCCATCACACTTAAGTAGAATCTAGTCCTCACCATTATTTACAAGATACTGTATGATCTGATCCCCAGCAGCCTCTCGGACCTCATCTACCACTCCTTGTTCATTCTGCTTTGGCTACCCTTTCTTTGCTGTTCCTCAGACGTCTAAACCTTTCCAGTTTGCAGTGTTGGCACAAACTTAGAGCTTCCCAGACAGGTTACCACGAATGGCAAATATGCCAGGAGATACTGCTCTCCTTAATACATGGAGCAGCCGGGCTGTTCGAGCCGTCGGCCAATGATTTCAGGCTGAGAACAGCATCTGGGTTTCTCACAGGGCCACCTGATCTGAGCAGAATCTGAAAGCATGCCCCATAGTCCCCAGAACCAGAGAGCTGGATGAGTGACGTCCTGCACTCAGCAACACTGAAACATTGCCAAGACAGTGCTCTGCCAACCTAGACCTTAGCCGTAGCCAGTTATAGGAGCACATGCTGCTTCTCTTGGGCAAGAGGCCACGGATGGAGGAATTTATTTACCTGTGCCCCAGGAGTGTGGTGTCACGGCCCAAAGTGAAGCCAGCCAGGAAAGAGGAGGTGATAAGCTGAACAGGGTTCCTGGAGGTAAAACTCCACAGACTACAGCTCCAGATCTCCACCTTCAAATTACCAGACGTTTATTTCTATGTGGTAGATGTGGTTTAGTACTTGCAAACTGGCCGCGTGGTGATTGGCTGTGCAGTCTGCAAGTTAGAGTAGGGTGATTATTTTTTAAATATGTGATATGAAAAAGTCCAGTTGAACTTGAAGTATTTTTGTGTTAGCAAAAGAAATAGATTACAATGTCAGTGAGAAAAGGGAACTGTTGTTAGATTCTTTACTTTTGTTATAAATGTGATAATGACCATAAGAAAATTTGTTATCAACGATAACTAATAATAATCTGAAGACCATTCCAGTCAAGTCAGTCACCCTAATTCATTCAGTGGTTATTCTTAGCAACACGCATGGTGAGATAACCAGAAATGTTTCCTGATGGGACTAAATGTAAACTAGACAATGTCACCTGCGATGTTAATCTAGCTAAAAATATTTAACTTGAATCTATCAAGGCTTAAGATATAAATTCCAGTTCCAGGAAATGAAGGAGATAGAGGAACAAGATAAATGACACTAAAGGAAGTAATTAAATTAAGGATTGTTTTTCTATATATTAGGTCTTGTGTTTTCCCTTAAATTTTTTTTGATGTTCTCTATTAGGGTCCTATACCTCTTTTATAACACTTATTTTAAATGCTATCTGTCCTTTATTAGTATTATAAAATGTACCTTGCTTAAATTTTCTGTTTGCTGTTGAAGCACGAAGTACAATTAAGATGTGGACTCCTGGAGCTTTGTTGTTGGGATTCAAATACAATTAAACTGCAAAATCTTGAAACTTTGGCTTCCACTAGTGGTAGACAAGGTAATTCAGACCAACCGTCTGACTGAAGAAATTTTTAACATCTGAGCGAAACATAAAACCTATCTTAGGGGTACAAAAGCACCACAAGATAATGAGAAATCGTCAGGCCAAGAACCAAGAGATGGTGGAAATTCAGAGAGGTGAGTGTAGCCCTCGGGACCACTTCTGCCCTGGAAGCATTTGCCAATCTGGAGATAGCCAAGAGACCACGCTATGCTTCTGGTGGCTTCACCGGCCTCTGGTAGCTTGAGGAATGAAAGACGGAGCCCAGGACCCATCGAGGATGAAATGCAAGTAAACATCACCACTGCCCACCATCACCACATACTGTGCACACAGTCAGCCGTGCTCAGAGCACAGGTGAAGCCAGAAAACACCAGTCCTTACACTTGACAATGCCTTGATGTGAGTGGACCCACTCAGTGAACTCAGCCCTGAACTCGGATTAAGGTGATCCCAGATTGCCGATGCCCCCAGGTCTCTGGCCAAAAGAATCCATGAAACCTCGTTTGGAGGAAGAAAACATGATCCTAGTCTTCTCTTCCTTCTGCAAATGATTTTTCAAACCCAATTTTAGAAGAA